TCTTCTTAACGCACCCCAGGATCCCATTGGCCTTCTTGGCCACGAGGGCACACTGCTGCCTCATGGTCAACTTGTCGTCCACGATGACACCCAGGTCTTTCTCCGCAGAGCTGCTCTCCAGAAGGTCGGTCCCCAGCCTGTTCTGGTGTCCGGGGTTATTCCTCCCCAAGTGCAGAACCTTGCACTTGGCATTGTTGAATTTCATGAGGTATCAGAGGGTGCAGCTATCAGCAGCTACAGAGGATGGCTAAGACGTTTCACGGGTCTAGGTCTCTATTCCCAGCTTTCATATCAGACCTCAGTGTTTCACACTCCTCTGCCTGTCTTATCTCTCTCCCTTTGTCTGTCTAGACTGGGAGATAAAGGAGTGTCCCCTGTATCTGTACTGTACCTCAGATGGTAGCCCTAGGTTCTCTGTAACACCACAAATAACCCTAAGTTGGAGCTGTAAGCATACATGTTAGTTTTTTTTTTTAACTACTGAAGAACTGGAGCAGTGGTTTAGATGTTCTAAATGCTTTAAACTGCACATGTTTTATCCTTGCCTGATTATCCATTTTACCCAGATAATGCCTGTGTGTAGTTCTGTTGACTTTAGTTTAGCTATTTACAATTTGTCAGGCTCAATGTACAACACTAGTTATATATTGATACTCTTTACACATAGATTTGCTTGAATCCTTCTTTATCTTTCAGTGAGTAAGGATTCAGGGTTGTTATGTATTCAGATAACAGACTAAATGATTAACAGAATTTTACTTAGCCAGATTTCTATGTAATATGCAAGTCTTGCAAAAGCCAACTTCCCAAAGGCATGCAGCACTTTAACCTAGTAATGGAGGCCAGTCAGCACTAGCTTTGGCGTGATGAGCAATCAGCATGGAAAAGGCAGTAACTCTGTGCCTAGGGTGCTGAGCCTCTATGTACAGCACAGCTGTTCACATCTGTACAGGGTATATCTTTCAGAATGGTTTCTGGAGCTTTTGGTAAAGAAAAGCTAGGAAATATTTCTCACTCATGCATCCCCATAGCTGATACTAGTATTCTTCTCCATTGATCTCAGCTGCTTTGCACAGAGTACTGGAATCTTCTTCTTGCTGCATTCTGCTGGGAATGCAATAATAATTCATAGGCATCCAGCTCCTCCCACATGTACTTCTCATTCACTCTCTTGTTGGCTCAGGTCCCTGAAATATTTTATGAACTTTCTGAAATTCAGTATTAGGCTCGATTGAAACAAGCTAGATCTTCAAGGCAATGAAAGAGGGGTCCCAAGGAAAGCAGTGGAGAAACAGATCTGAAAATATTGCATCTCGTGAGTGTGCTAGGCAAAGCCATAGCTGATTTGATTAAGTGTTCACAAGTCTTGGTCTGAGCGGAGGGCTGGGCTAGAGGAAAACTCCAGCGATCTCTTCATCCAGTTTTTCTGTGGTTCTGTGACTCTGCAGGGTGATAGGAACCGCTGGCAGGAAGAGGTCCATCACCTAGATTGCAGCTGCTCAGCAGCTGCAGCCATCAGGAATAACCGGCAATCTCTAACTGCTGCTGTAGCGAGTGGTTCTTCTTTAGCAAGTGGTTCTCTGCATTGCTGTGCTGGCACCATGTGGAGCTGCAAGCTCTGAAGAAGCCTCCCTCTGCGCCCAAGCCCACAGACCTCTTTTCCCGCTGCCCCATGCACTTCATGAAAAAGCAGTCACTGCAGCACAGAGGGGTCTAGTGAGTGCGTAAGTCTGAAATACCCTGGGAAATGAAGAGATGTGCATTTTTTGTTGATAAACTAGAGCAAAAGTCTTCAGTGTTGGCAGATTTTACTCAGAAGAGGAAGTTAAATAAACCAAACGAACTCAACTCTGTTTCTGCCCCATAAAGTGACTGAAAATAAACTCCTTATTCAGCAAGCTGTGGCTGTACCTAGGGCAAAACTTGCCTTCCTTGCCTTTGTGCCTAAAACTCTTCAGACACCCCAATAATCCCACCTACTCTGGACTCCTTTCAGCCCTGTAGAGCAATGAGAGATTCATTGTGCATCGACTGCACAGATTAACAAGTATATTCCTAAAGGGAGACAGATGTCACTCAGGAAGGCGATGAACTTGTGGAGTTTTTACTGCTGGTATTGATTGGATAGCTAGAACCACACTTCCACTTATGTGAGTCTTAAATTGACCTAGCAAGAGGTGTACTTGGAGAGATGCAGTGCTGCCCAGAGGGAATCACTTCTGTACAGAGCTGCACAGGAAAAATCAAACCAAAGGTAGTCATTATGGTGACTTAACAGCATGATACAAATAATCTTTATAAAAACCTAGAAGTAGGTCTTTCCTGAACTTGTGGCACCAAGGAGTCTGGGGACAGCGAGCTTGTTTATAAGGGCAATATTGCTTGGGAACACGAAGCTGAAGAGGAACCTTGACAACAACCCAACGGAAATTGGGTCTTCCTGCTTCCACACGTTCACAAACTGGAAACACGTGGCCAGTGCTGAGAGGTTCCTCGCAGACAGCAGACAACTTGGAACCCCTCGGGCTACCGTGACCCCCTTGGGCACAGGGAGGGGGAACACCCACGAATCACACTGTCACTAGAGAGGCAAGATTAGTGTGGCACTCTCACCCTGAGCTGACCCAACTGGAAAGACAATGATGCCTGGGCACCACGGCCTTTCCAGAAGACATAAGAGAGGGCAAGCTGGCTGCTACCTCGCACCCCTCTAGCAAGCACAACCCTCCGTGCTGGAGGGCCTGCAGAGGCCACAGGGCATTCACTCCGGAGCTGCTGGGGAGATGCCCCTATGCCGCAACCCCCGTAGTGCTCTGGTGCCTCCCCACAAGGCGCCGATCCCGCCCCTCTCTCCTCACCCGGGCCGCGCTCCCGCCCGCAGGCGGGTCGGG